GTAGCTTTTTGGGCCTCTTATGAGACAGATATTGCACTCGCATGCTGAATTTTTGTTGACTTTTTCAGTGCCTTTCCTCTGACTTCTCGTCAACTTCAATTGACATTTTTGACTTTTTATTTGACTTTTTTTGACTTTTCAGACGACGACTCGACGACTCGACCTAATACTGATTCCCCCCCCCCCCCTCTAAATAATTTGTAAACGGCCCCTAATAAGGACTGCACTTTACCTATCTCTATCTTGTCCTCGCAAAAGTCGTTGCTGTAGCAGATCATGTGCAGTGCGGTCATGCCCTCCCTGGTGGCGGCGCCCAGAGACCAGCCCTGGTCCACCAGCAGCCGCAGGCAGTCCTTCTTGTTGGTCTGGGAGCGCGCCTTCACCACATCGTACGGCGCACTCCAGGCCGCATCATGCAGCGCCGTCCGCCCGTCCTCAGCCGCGGCTTGGGCGTCCAGAGCGTCACTGCAACAAGTTTACACGACAGTCACATGGAAACTATGAAAAGACCATAGGTCTGAGTGCATTGCAGTAGACGTCAGTACCGGTGCTTCTCAAGGAGCATCTTGACTACGTCGTATGCGCCACCGACGGCAGCATAATGCAGGACAGTGTAGCCGGTCCGGGTCCTGCGATGCAGCAGGTTGGGCCGCTCTGCAATCAGCAGCAGCACGACGGACATCCAGCCCCGCTGCGCCGCCAGGTGCAGCGCCGTGGCACCGTCGTCGCGGTGCACCGTGGTTATTCCCACCTATCGATCAGCGGAGCAATATTTTCAATGGAAAGTACACCCAAAAAGTCCCCTCAACTGGGCAACAAAGTTTCCCCCTCAGTTCACGGTAAAAACAATGTCTGATGCCTGTACTGACTGAAATAATTTAATACATGACCCTCGACATGACCTTATCATTGCATGCGTATCATCTACTATCAAGATCGATTCTGGATCGAAAGTTCTACACTGACATTTGGTTATTTTTCGTGAAATTACAAGTGTCCCAACACTATATGCTTCACATTTTCATGTGTTTACACGTACGCGTGCCCAGCTGGGTAAGCAACAAGTAAGCAAGCATCTTTGAACTCTTTAAAGATTGTAAAATTATAAACACGTGTTAAAAACACATTTTTAGCTCGCTCCTCTGCTTTTTTTAAAAAACAAGGGAAACTATGATCACAAAATACATTTTGTGCTAAGTAGGAAACTCGTTCTTTAACCAAACCAGGGTAGTTCTTCAAAATCAGTTCGTGCTTTTATCTCAGAGTAATGGAGGAGAAGTGTGTGACGATAAAAGGTACATTTTAAACGCCCGCGCGCTCTCTGTGAAGTAGTTACCATGTCCGTCCACAGGTGGCAGCACGGATGGCACCGCCATAACCTCACGTACTCCACCGTCACGGGACTTGCAATTTTTTAGGAGGAATCTATTAAGTGAACTCGTTAAAATGCTTCGGTAGCGACTCAAAACATATTAATAAAACAGTTTCATTAACATCTCATAAGTTCAAAGATGCATGCATGATACATTTTCATTGCTTAACACTACGTTTTTCAACATGCTCAAATAAGCTCTGGTCTGAGACTTAGAATGAAAACACGCAAAATTTGTTAAGAGTGCTCAAAATTATGCTATTAAACCTGGAAAAAGGTTCGTTGCTTTAATTGAGACCAGCGTCCCCGCTCTACAGTGGTACTATTGTCATGTCTGTAGGTGTTGTGTGTTCTGAGATGAAAACAGGAACAGGAAAAGCGTGACACCGCACTGAGAACAATACTCGTTCTTCCTACCACCACGAAGGTGAAGTGGGATGGTAAAGAACGAGTAAAAAATACCAGCGGGCTGATGCAATCGCCCCCGGTGTCTTGTCTGTCTCCCAAGAAGGGCGTGAGCTAGAGGTCTGAAATTTTAGGGTATCAGCACACGGAAAAAAAATTAAAGATTAGTTGTCAGAGCGAATACATTGGCTGATTTGATGACGGTCAAGAAATTCACCCCGTGTGCATTACTATCAAGTGCAAATATAAAGTGATTCAGTGATTCACCCCAAAATGCATCACCAATAGGACGCCCATGCTTGCATGCTGCTTTGCCGTTGCCCTCAGCCTTACCTCTTCGCCGCTGTTGTAGTCCGTGAACGTTCTGTCTTGGTCCGGTGCGGGTCCGGTCCGGTACAGAGTGCCCCGGTCCGCGTCACAGCCCTCCCCAAGCAGCATCTTCACGACGTCCAGGTGCCCGCCCTCGGCGGCCAGCATGAGCGGTGTCCTGGCCTCACTGTAGTCCACAGCTTCCTTGTCGCAGCCGGCGGCCACGAGCAGCCGGGCCGCTTCGCAGTGGCCGTGAGCCGCTGCCAGGTGCAACGGCGTGCGACCGCTGGACCACTGGAGCAGAACATTGCGATCTAATTGACCCCTTATGAATGATATAGCATTTACAGATATTTGATAGATGAGATAACTCCTTTTGTAAGAAATTGAAGGACTTGCCTCCAAACTCATTACGCACAGTAAACGCACATCAATTTTTGTAGGAGTAACTCGACCTATCTCTCTTTACGCAAATTTTTAAGGGAGATACATTTCTAAAATCTAGATAGGGTCGATATCAAATATTCTACCCTCGCCATTTTATCAAGTTGTCTTCTGACAGTAAGAATGAAAAATAAAAGTTCAGAACTTTTTTGAATTTTTAGCTATAAAACAGTTTTTGGCGTTTCCCCGTTCTTCCGCTTCCTGAACCATCTAACAAGATGGATACCATGTGAATAGTGTTGTGAATTAATTATCCATCCAAATCCATGAAAGACTGAGAGACATATCAATAATGGCGACGAGGTAGAATAATTCAAGACTGTGACTGTGTTGAGAGGTGTTTAAGTGAAGATTTGTGTGTGAAAAGAAGAGATTTGAGAAAAATTTCGGACAACGAGCAAGATCCTGACCCTCCGTATGGATCGGCGTCGTATGATGGTCGTGTTTCAGACATCGAGAAGTTTAATCCATAAGAGGACACCGTGGATGAGTGGCTGGATGGACTATTTAGAATTGATGGGGTACGAAGAGGATCATGAAAAAGTGAAGGCGCTGCTTAACTATGCTGGAAAGCCTGTGTACAAGGTCCTGAGCCATGCGAGTTTGCCGGGCAAGGCAAAAGACAAAACGTTTCTGGACGTGTGCGAACTATTTAGGGAAAATTTTGAGTCTGTACCGCTCGCTCGAGTTTATCGACACAAATTGGCTCTTCGAAAACAAGGAGCTGAAGAATCTGACTGCATTTTCCAATGCACTTTCGTGTGCTAGCTAGACAGTGTGACTATGTAGCTGCTCATTTAGAAACCGTTTTAGTAGACACGTTCATCAGGAACCTTTAGGGAGCAGACCTGTGAAATGTAAGGGTTTGCAAGAATCGTCACTACATAAAACTACTAAGGATTACGATGTATTGAGAACATAGATAGACGCTAATTTTGCCGTCGGCGCCAGTACGCACATCCTCCGGGAACATGGCGATCTTCACCTTCAACTGGAACGATTCAGTCCCTCTCAGTGTGCACGATGATTGTAGCGCAACGGATGGGTCAGCGCCGGTAAAAAAAAATGTTACTTACTCTTAAAAGATGCCGCTAGTGGTTGACCAAGGCTTTTTGCAAATTTCGAGATGGAAGTACTCGAAAAAACCACAACGGACAAATCAAATTTTTCATTTTTTGCGTATTTTAGCTACACGATTTTTTTCCAGTACTTCCATCTCGAAATTTGCAAAACACCCAGGTCAACCACTAACGGCATCTTTTTAGAGTTAGTAGCAATTTTGTTGACAGTCGCAGACCAATCCGTCGCAGCACAATCGTGCACACCGAAAAGGATTGCATTGTCCATTTGGAGGCGAAGATGGGCATGTTCCTGGACAGTGCGCGCACCGGCGCCAACGGGAAAATTAGCATCCATTCATCCTCTAAATACACAATTAATTCTAAATTTATGCGGCGTGTAGTTTTTATGTAGAGACTATTTTCCCAAATCCTTCAATTCACAGGTCTGCCCTCTTACAAACAAGTGCTGAAATGAAGAGCAAGTGTGACAAATTGAAGAAAACTGAATCCGACACATTGACAAAATGTACCAAGGCAGCAAGAGTGTGGGAGAGTTACGAAGAACAACAACAGGGCAAGTGTAGCCAACATAAGAACTTAAAACTAAAAGGCAGAAATACCACACTGCCGATAATTCCCGTAATCTTGTACATAAATAAGATGTAAATTTAAAGAACATGCTATTTTTACCTAAATACTATGGTAAAATTGCAGTATCAGTAAATTTACAGATTTAAGGTATTTTTCACGAAAAACCACTGTACGTTTACACGCGTCTGTAAAAATCCACAAGTACTCTGGTATTATTACAGGTATTAATAAAGTTACAGACTCTCTGTGAAGAAGTATTTCAGATACTTTCTGTAATTTTTCGAACACGTAAGAAATACGGTTAAATTTGGCCTCAGAATTTGCTCAATGTTGAACTCTAGTGCATTCTAACAACGAACAACGAAAGAAACCCGATGTTGTGGATAATCACCAACAACCAAGTCAGGTTCGTTGTCCAGCAACAAACATAATTTCGTCTCACCTCGGTCTGCATGCAGTCGAGTGGTGCGCCACGGTCGACGAGCGCCGACAGCACCCCGCAGTGGCCGCCCTCGGCTGCCATGCTGAGCGGGGTCTGCCCGCCATTGTCCGTCTGCGCCAGAGTCCCGCACCCTGCGCGGTCTGCAACAAGTGACATTCATTCTGTCCATTTTAGGTTACACTTAAAAGGACCCAGAAAACTGAAAAATGTAAAAATTTATGATCGAAAATGTATTTTCTTCCATAGAAATGTATCGAGGCTGCACACAGGCATTCTACGCAATAATAAGGATGTAGTACAACGGGTGTTGAGGTATGAGCAATGGTTTGATTGGTTTGATAATTGAGACATGTGCACGTCTCATTAGCGGGTGGATTTTTCCAACTGTCGTAGTTTCCATGTTTTTTGAGCTAGGAAGCTAAGATTTGGCATGAGGCTCAGGAAGTGCGCCAGCCGTTGGCCACCCCGAACGAGCTGTGCATCTCCTAGAGTGGAGAAGGGTGAAGAAAGACGGCCGTAACAACTCCAAAATTGGTACGGTAAGTGCTTGGCACTGTAAAAACTCTCGTAGGAAATTTACAAAAATTTTGTAAACTTGAGTTATAATCTAAAATGAAAATTTGTTTACGAGTGCACCTTTTATTAATCGCCAAGGGATTTGAAGTCGATCCATATTGCATATATGTTTGCGATTACAAATTGTAATTTTACAACTTGCGTCAAGAAAATGTTCCTGTTAACCTACCCGAGGGGGTTTTCACTTCTGAAATACCGTGTACACCAAATGAGGTATTTCACAGGTATTTCACGTGAAATACACCAAAATACGCCTAAATATGCTCCAAAACGGTTAACTTTTCCTGAGAAATACCGCCGAAATACACGTATTACGAAATACTGTGTGCACGGAAATCTCGAGTGAAAACCCCCTCGAACCTACCCAATCTTTATCACAGTGGGAAAGTCAAGATTTTTGATGGGTCAACTCAACTTTTTGTTCTCTTTCGAACGGTGTAAACGAAATTACGGTCGGACAAACCCACCCCCTTCCACACTCACCCCCACCCCCTCAAGGGGGCGAGTTTTGTAGTTGGTCAAAATCAACTCGATATCCTCTGGGGACATCCCCTGTACAACAGCCCACCCTTAGTGCAGAGGGCGTTAGTACCCGCATCAGGGTTATTTCGGCCGGGTACGAGCACGGTTGATGGTAGCCGAATACAGACTGCAAAGAAATGTAGCCGGGCCATCCGTGCCTTGACGGAACTTTCTTTTTACAGTGTTTGTACCGGGTGTAACTGAGAATGCGCAACAGTGTTGCGGGATTGCATACCCGCCAGGGCTAAAGGGGCCAGGGGCTAACTGGGTAGGCAAACCCGCAACACTGTTGCGCATTCTAAGTTACACCCGGTACGTGAACAAAAATGAACATCACATTTAAAGTTAGTGCCGAGGTAAGTGCTCAGTCATCGCGCCGTATGCGCAGGCAGCCGTTATCACCACTGAGTGTCGAGTATCACCTCCGTCGTGATCACGCAGGGCTTTCCGGGCGACGTCGTCACGCTGGTCACGGTTTAGCGAGTATAAGAGGGCACCCGACCCTCTCCTCGGCGCACAGTGTTCAGCATTGT